GTTTACTTTCTCTTTCTCTCGCTCTCCCGCTCTCTCTCTCTTGATGGCATCTTTGCTCATCTGAATACGAAAGAAATGAAAAGTGAATTTGGCCCTGCTTACTATATGATATTGCATTATGCATAATTGACTCTTTGAAATTTAGTACCACTTGACTCTTGAATACACATTTTTTTACTTGCATTCTGATATCCTCAAGTCCCGGTATATCAGCCAGCTCATAGCTCTTGACACATAATTATCGAATATTATTACACTTTTCTTTTTTTTTATACTCACTTAGCCACCTAGCTTTAAGGTTTTTCAAGTGCCTGTCCATATTCCAGTTTATTTGTCCTACTCTGCCCTTCCATCTATACAACTATCAGTAGGAATGGAAATCGAGAACCAGTTCATTTAGAAAAACGGTTGCTAGTAGTCCACTTCCTAAACTGATTTCAGTTCCAGTGTTTGTGGAGGAAAATAGCAACACAGTCTACTGCATGGATATTGACTTTTATTTTTTTTTTTTTTGCGCAAAAGGAAACATAAGTGGCAACATGGAAAACTGCATCCAGGACAGAAACTACCGCAACATGCTACTAACACAGCTTTGGTTCGCAAGCATCTGCCAAGCTAATGCTAAGCTAGCCAAGAACCCAGTGTGAATGCCAACCTCAGCAGCCAAACCCTTGACTTCAACATATAACAAACAATCAGCAGCCAGGCTGCAACCTCCCTTTCTACCTGTTCACAATCGCTTTTTTGTGCTGGTTTTTATCTTTGTTTTGTGCGGGCATCTTTGTATTCTACGAAGACAAAGATCTTAGATACGTGTATCCTCTTTAGGAATTGTGTGTGGCGTTGTAGTCTCAGATTTATATTGTTAAATTGTGATTATGAGAGCGTGTGTTTCAACTGTTTTACAGAGTTATTTTACAGAGTAATGTGAAAGTAATGTAACGAGTAGTAGGCTATAACGAATTACTTTTTGCCGGGAGTAATAAAGTAATGTACCACATTACTTTTAAGTGTTGTGTGTAATATGTGTAATAATGACCTTTTTTTTGAGTAACGACTCCAACACTGATCACAACAAAGAGGGGAAATACCTCAACAAACATGCATAAACGTTTGATCCACAGCATACAATATATTTGCATGAATATAATTTCTTTATTGCTGCATGCTGGTGGTGACTTTCAAAACAGAGCCAATGAAGAATCAAATTGATAAGTGATATCGACAATAGAATCTCTAATTCTTATCATGCCTAGCTATCACTATGTATCGTTTCTACAAACCCTTCTGTCATTCTTCCTGTCTACACGTGGATGTACCTTTATACTAATCTGCACACTTCAGATGCCTTCACACCCTCTTTGTCATTTCGCAGCAGCTCACAACCCTCAGGCAGACCCACTATGTAGGGAAGTGATAACATGTCAGCTCTGCCTCTTCCTGGCAATCACACCATGCAGCTTGTTGCAAGCTGTGCACAGTCTTTCATACCCCACTCAGACTTAAAGACCAACTGAGAAAAGCCTTTGAATAGGTCAGCGCATGTTATCCTCTCCTACTCCATTCCAAAGTTTTACCAAAGCCACGATCGCCAAAGCTGAAACATTTCTCTTACAAATAACCTTCGTTTTTTTTCACTACAGAAAAATAAATATGACTTCAGAGTTGTGAAGAATGACTTTGGGAGTTCAGTATGCTAAAGAAATCATCTTAAATAAGTGAGGTAAAATTTAACTAGAAGGGTAAGGATTTTTCATTTTTGGTTTTCTTTCTTCCTGTTGTGGGTTTATGAATATTATTCATGTATTTTAACTCTTGGGAATAAAATGTTCCCATTAAAGGTTCCAGTGGAGCAATTTAGGATACAGCATGTTTCTAATAATATGTCACCAAGAACGACAACGTAAAGGAGGTTTTTACAATTCAGTAAATTTGAGGATCTGCTCAAATTTGGTGAATCTGGCATGGAATTACAACAGAGGGGTTTGAGATATCAAAGGGAAAAGGTCATCACATGAGGTCCATTGCTTTTGGGTAGATAATGTTTTCCATGGTCTGGTGTGATTGTGTTGCTTGCCTAGATTGGAGGGCCTGCTGCCTATAAAGCTCACCTGAGGTGGTTCACGCTTACCACCACCTCAGCTTATCTCGGTCTTCACGCCGAGGTCCAAATGTGTTATTTTTTGGATGCAGTTGCTGCAGTAGGAAGAGCAAAAAATCCAGCTTAAGGCCTCAAGAATGATGCACATGAGGCTGACACAAGTTGTCTTTTACAGACGGGACACATTTTTAGCAGGATGTATGTATGAACAGCAAAGACAATATGAGTTCTTGGGTATCAGTTTCATATACTGACAACATAAAGACATATGCATATATAGATTTAGCATTTAATTTGATTTTTGTGATCTGTAGACCAAACACCATTAACTCCATTTAAACTTATTTACCTGCTTAACAATATATAAACAATAAAGAGTGTGCAGATACAATTTCAACCTTGGGGTATTGTCTTATCATTGTCAGTTTATTTAATTTATTTATTAGCCTAGAAACACCAATTAATCCTCCTTTAGATCTTGAATCACTGGAAAATTAGTAGGGGGTATATTTACAATTACAATACCAATAAGTAATATATCTAACTGCATGTCTTTGGACTGTGGGAGGAAGCCAGAATAGTTGAAGAAAACCAATGCAAATGCAGCAGAAGATGGAAGCAAACAGATGATGGATTCAAACCATGCTTGTGCTTGATTGATGCATAGGTCTGTGCTGATTGGCTTAACAAAAACATAAATCCTCTGAAAATGGAAAATGATGGTCATGTACAAAGGACTGGACTGAAAATTAGTGAAAAAGCAGTCAGTGTCTTAAGAAATGTTTCCTTCATAAAAGCCAGGATATCTATTTTTCAAGACCACGTTTAAAAAAAACAAAAACAAAAGAAAAAGTCTGGCTGCTTAGAAGCAAAATGTAAAGAAAAGGTGGGTGGCGCAAAGACTTTTTCACAGTTTTGTATTTAAAGAATATATATTTCAATTTCTGTGGTATTAATCTGCGTTCTATATTAATATATACAGTATATAATACAAGACAGTGGATTGTAAGTGTACTAGCAGGGAAGTGAAGGTTACTTTAAAATTGAGGATACCCATTGTGTTGGATCCTGGATTCAGATGAATGGCACAGTTATGAGACTGACATTTTGGGCTGTTTTGCACATCACTGTTCTCACATTGTGCTCACACTGCCTCTGTGTTTTTGTCAACCGGTTGTTCCCGAGCCAGGTAATCTACTTACGTGAAGACCACATTAATAAATTGGTTCCCATCACTGTGAAGCATGGCGTGGATTCCTGCTCCCGGGTGCCACAGAGACAGAGCAATTATTCAGCGACAGCACAATAGCATACCCGAAGGGAAACCGAACAGAAGTCTTTTAGTATCATCCAAACAACACGTTATTGATGTGTCAGTAACGTGGCTGTATTTTTGATGAAAGTGTTATTAATGCAGGCAGTCATTCCAGTGCAGGCCACAATAATATCTCCGAGGATGAATAGCGTGTCATTCTTTGTAAAAGAGAACAGCTCCTATTTTACAGATTTATTTTTAATCTAAAATGTCCTTGAGGATTGGTTGTCTTGAGAAACAGTAACTATAGCCAATAGTATGAATAGACCATTTTAAAATAACAACTTTTTGTCCTTCAACACTGTATTATTTGAACCTTTTGTTTTTCTTCTAAAACTTGCTCTATGAACTGTTACACCTGCAAACTGTCTAAGATGATTCTGCATGCTGTTTTACTTCATCGAGCAGTAAGGCCAGTGTAATTTATCGTCTCAAAACCTGCACATCTTTTCAGAAAATACACTCCTCTGTTTCTGTTTGAATATAGTTTTTCTTGCTCTTCTTCTTCAAATTGATAAATGGATTCAATCTTTCTCATTTCACAACTGCCATCTAAAATGGGAGAGTTGCTTTATGAAATTACAATAACAGATTCTTAAATGTGCTGCATTTTGTTGTTGTTTGGGGTTTTTTCCTCTATGGGAAAATGACAGAGGTGTCAGCAAAGTGTAAAAGTGTTTAATTACATGTCATAAACATGGATAGTCGACAGTCCACATTTTTCAGTCAGACTGAACATATTCTGTTTAATAGAATATGACAGTCAGAGATTATTGTGAGCATTACTCCCACAAACGCTGTCACAGATTTCTTACCGCTGCTGTGAGTAATAGTCTAACTTTGAATAAAAACTGCAACACATACACACCATACATGTAGAGATGAGAGTAAAAACGAGAAAGCACACACAGTATCACAAGAGGGTGTTGCAGTGTGATGACATTATCGTCTTCAATCATCCCTCACCGTCACACTGCTACGACAGGGTTCCCTGCTATTTAAGGCAGCTGTAGTTTCTGTGGAGAGTGGTGACAATCATATCTGCTGGATATGATTACACACTTGTGTGGCTGATAGTCACACATAACTGTTAAAAGAGTAGCATATCGACCAAAAAAAAAGAGCCTTATGACATGATAACCATCCAGTTTCTTTGTAGTTAAAGGTTAAAGGGCTTTGGTGAAGCTCAAGAAACAACATATCAAAGAATGTGAGGAATTAATGAATAAATGATTGAGCGTAAAAGAATCCACTCACAGATTTACCCTCCCACTACCTTAGCAGTGCAAAATAAATCTATGTTTAAAAATGCAAGGTTCATAAATATATCTGACTTAAGTACCCCGCATCAGGTACACTAGGTTTTTAAGATATTTGGCAGGTGGGTTGTTGGACGCATCATGGATGGAATAACTCTTGCAACAATGTTATGAAAGTCTGTAAAATGGACAAAATACACACCTTTTGTACCTTTTGTGTAGCTGCTTTTATATCCAGTTTTTATGCTTTTGGTGTGATACTGAATTTAGGTCCACTATGTTGGGCAGACTGTTTGCTTTATGATTGTGTTTGATGTCTTCTCAGGTTCCCTCCAGTTAGTGAGCTGGCTCCTATTGGCACTTCAGTAGGGATTATTCTTGCTGCTGCTATCAATCAAACCATCTTCTACTCCATTGTTGGAGGAAACGAACGAGGTATGGCCTGCAGATTATACAGTATACAATGCAGTCATTTTGACCCTAAGTGCTAAATTCCACTTTAGGTGCAAAAAAACCCAAACAGTTTATTTAACGTGAAAATGAGATTTAGATCTTAAAATGCTCAGTGAAAAACATCTACATGTTTGTTTAGAAGTCTATGTAGAGTCAGAGAGGACAGTATTGATGTACTTGGAACTGTGCATCACTTTTCACACTTGTTGGCAAAGTCTGAAGAGCAGAGGTGTGAGGCTGACTCAGGTCAGTCAGCCAAAAATAGAAGACATATATAGAAGAAATCCTCAGTCAATAGTTGCTTGTCCACATGCACCTCAAGAGTTCTTGTAGTTAAATGTGTAAAAAAATAAGTCATATAGTTCTCGTCATATCACCAAACTATAGGACTCACCAGTGAATCTGTTTACTGTGTTATCTGTGTGCAGTTTTTCCTCTTTTTCATAAACGCCACTTGTTTGTTTCCAGGTCATTTTCAGGTGAACAACAGGACAGGCGTCATCTCCACGGCAAAACCACTGGATTATGAAAACGTGACCAGCTATGTCCTCAGGGTTCAGGCCGACTCAATGGTGGTTGTCATGTCCAACCTCCGTGTGCCTTCTAAAAGTAAGAAATGTTAGCATGTAAGCCACTCACAGCGGAAGTTGTGTTGGATTGTTTATGTTTAAACTCAGGACAGAAATTATGGTATTCAAGGTCCATCCATCCATTTTCACACCTGCTTATCCAATTTAGGGACCAACTCATCTATTATCTTAGATATTACTGTAAATTCCTCACTTTGACCATTTATGGTTATATTATTAGAAAGTCTATAATCACTTGCTTTCATCCCTTATCTTTACATTGCTATGTAGAAGACTTGAGCCAACGTCTCTCTTTTTATTTTGGTAGGAAAATGAAAGCAGTCTACTGAAACATGTGCAAAAAATAGATGGAAATGCAGTATATAAGGTAAAAATAGGGTTTGTACAGTTCTGACAAGTTTGAAAGTCAGTATTTGGTTTTCCTTTATTCTTCAAAACAACCTGAACTCTTAGACAAGCTTTATTGAAATTCAAAGCTCTTCCTTGGAAATCGGATGCCTTTTGTTCCTTTCTCTGTCAAGATGATTCCACACTGTTTAAATAAGGACGAGATCCAGCTTTTCTGTACTTATATTTCATAATTTTGACAAGATCCCCAACACCACTGGCTGAAATGCATTACCAAACCATGAAACAGCTTCCACCATATTTTACAGATGGCTGTGGATACTCACTGTTGCACCTTTCTCCTGAACTTCTCCGTACACATTGATGATGATGATTTGATCAAAAAATGTGAAATTTGGATTCATCACTTCATAAGACCTGTTGCCACTGATTTTTCAGACCAGTTTTGTGTAATTTAGCATACATCATTTCACTTCTTTAAGAATGGCTTCTGACAGCCACCCTTCTGCTGAGAACATTTCTGAAGACCACTTTTCCTTTTGTCCTCTATTTGTCTAATTTCCTCATATTTCCTCAAAACATGCTGCACACCACGCATAGATATGCCAGGTTTTCAGCTAATATCTATTTGCAAATCACCTTATTGTTGAAGAAATACCATTTTATGCCTATTAAACTTCTATTTCTATTGTCAACAGATTTGATGTTCATCTTGTAGTTATGGTGATTTAATAAAAATGTTCAAAGTATGAGAAATAAAAGCTTCAGTGTCCGGTAATATCACAAATTGTTAAAAATGCTTTGTCAAAATTCCTCAAAAACATCTAGCAATGGAAAAAATAGGCCATTTCTCTTAATTTAGACAAATCACCACATAACGAGGGTGGGTGAGAAAACATTAATCATGGCAAATTCTCACTTAATGGAATTTGTGCGTGTTCCCATTCTTAAGGCCTCGGTGTACTAGAAAAAATAAATAAACTGCAGAATATGTTGGTTGGCAAGGGTGATTCTTGAAGCATGGCAAAAACCGATTGTCACAGTTTCTTCCTTTTCTATCCCAGTGTCTTTTCTTTCTGTCCATGAATTCCGCGTACATGGTAATTTTAGGTAGTCTCTCCTCTAAGGCATTCGTGTTATTGTTCTTGACATAACTCATGAAAAGTGACAGAAGTTGTTTGAGAGAAAAGTTAAAACTTTGAAAATACCTCCAGCGTACCATTGCTGTGTGAAGTGGGCATGATTGCTTGATTGTCTGTTTGAGAAATATGCATAAATTGCTGGATGCTTCCACTGTCACAGCGGAGGTTTGAAATAACTCTGGAGACTTGAGACTGCTCTCTCTTTGATAGCCATGCCCTAGCTGGAATATCATTAGGCTCGTCTATGGTTCTGTTTACTGACATTCATGTTTTGTATAATGATGGGTAGTGTTCTAACAATAAATAAGGTTTAGTAGATGGTTTGCTGCTCTTTTTTGTCATACTGTGTCTCTCACATACTAATGACCATAATTAAAAGTAATCAACTCTTGTATACCCACAAAGAAGAGAGCTTCTCTAACAAGTACACTGTAAGCAGGCACCCCGTTTTGAATGAGTGCACTCACTCGTCATACTTCTCTTGTTATAATGATCAGGGCCCCGTGAGGTGCAGCATCTTCCTTCTCATTAATGTGTTTTTATCAATTAGTGGACCAGTGACCCTCTTAGGGTCCAGTACATTACATATGTATGCAAATGTTCAGGATCCACATGTATATGCATACAATATAATAACCCAGACTAAGACAATATTTACTTGTATGTTTTCTAAATAATAATGCACTCAAACCTAGACGGGCTTAGAAGCACTCCTCTTCTCATAATAGGTTTGTTTTGTTCATGCATCTTTATGAGTGTCCAGAGTGTGAGCCGGAGAGACTATATTTATGTTTTTATGTGCTGATGGAGGACGGCCACTTTCTGCAAAGAGCGGGAGGAGAGAGACACTCTGCAGACCTCTTTCCCCGTTCCCTCGAGTCCTCCCGCGGTGTCTCACACTACAGCTTTTGTCCCTATAATTTGATGTGCTGTGTTTTGTTTGTCCAATTCCCCTGGTGCATCCTTAGCGCCAATGCCACATGGCTTTACTTTTTCTTTTTTTTTTATCTCGCTAGAAGAAAAATGGTCCTTGACACTGCAATTTTTTTTAACCTAAATTGCAGTCTTGATTTTTTTCCGCTCTTCATATTTATGCTGTACATTGCATTGGTGTAACTATGACAAATTAGGCACATGAAATACTCTGTACATGTGTTTCTTTTTAAAGGGACAGAATGAATATTTCAGAAGCCTCACAAAAAGGCCACTTAACCAGCAAATTTAGTATTATGCGCAATTTTATGCTTCCTTGCCTCTCGCAGTGTTTCCTGTAACTCCAGGGACCCTCTTGCAGCTTGATTATTGGCTGCCCTTCAAATTATTATTCCCAATAATGTGCAAAATGCTTGCCTCTTAAGCTTCCACTGGCTTTTATTGATGGCATTTTTATGCACCAAGTTGTAGGAAGAATAAACCTCTCAACAAGGTAGACCCCATTTAAAAATAATGGTTTCGAAGTTAAGATTTCATCATCAGTTTTTATTATTTAACAGAGCAATTTTCCACTCAGTGTGTGAGTGTTATTGCTTATTGGTTGGTAACCAGAATGCAAAATGGCTCAGTTGTTTTCCTGATCTGCTTATGGGGGCAGTGAGAGAGAAGTCATCAACATCCTTCAGACTCAGTTTTTCCCCATGCTGAATATTTGCTGCAATCAAAACAAAATTAACCTCCTCATTATTGGCTCAAAGTTGTCGGCTTTGCCAAAATAGCTTCTCGCGCTGTTTTGTTGGAAGGGGCTCAGACAGTAATAAGGGAACATGTTTCTCTTTTCAGCATGCAATTCAAATCCACTTCAAAAGGTTATTGCAGTGCAGCTTGAAATTACTACTAAATAAAGAGGGCTTTTCCAAAGAAGAAGGGGAATATACCCGCAGAAAACTATTTTCAGTCAGGCAAAAGGTGGGTGCATCAATTTTAAAGTAAAACAAAAGGGGTCAAAGATGCGTTCCTCAAATAAGGGAAAAATACACACCTGCTTGCCCACCTGACTTTATTTACAATCTGTGAGAGCTATCCAGAGGTGTCAATTACAGAGAAGGAACGAGAAAAAAAAACAACTTTGTTGACACTGTGTGATGGTTTCAGTGATAAATAACTTTCAAAATATTCTGGGAAATTATTTCAGGCCTTCTTTTGAAGTTGTAGACCGCCTGATGTCCATGAAAAAATTATTATGACATGCCAGTTTTGAAGACAAATTGGACAGCTCCAGTTCCAATAATCAAATGAGCTATGTTTACTTTATTTCGATGACATCAATTTTCTAAGCTTGCATGTCCCGACTCTACTTTTGTAAGGGTGGTGCTAACCCGGGTCAGGGGAAGCATGAATAAAGTAGGTGCACTTAAGTATGCAAGCTGAGCCCTGCATAAACTAAGAAAGAAACTAAGAACTAACAAATAAAAGCTTAAACAGGATTTGAAATCCTTCTGGTGTCATTTATTGCAGCTAACACAGCCAAGGTGTTCATTGGGGTTCTGGATGAGAACGACCACCCTCCTGTCTTCTCCAGGAAGCTCTACATAGGCGGTGTGGCAGAAGACACTAAGATCTTCAGCTCAGTGCTCAAGATAGTGGTAAGAAAACAATTAACTGGGGTTTTTTTTCTTGTCGTTGTTTTTGCTGCTTATGTATTGTGCTTATGTATAAAAACTAAAGACTCTGATTTTTTGTTCCACTTACCCTTCAGCCATGGTGTGACAGTTTTTGCTCTGTGCAGCACAGTTTGGTCTCCTCCCCTGTTGCTTGTAACATCTCTTTGTCAGTTTCACTCCCCCCACTGCTTGCCTTTCCACAGACAGCTGGGATCAGAGTAAGCTGAGCAGTGTAATCTCAGTGTGTTCTCAGATGCATGGCTGGACATCCTGCTGAATGTCAGCCTGTTGTACCAAGAAGATTTCACTTTTTCATTGTGTACAATACTCTTTACACTCTGCATTATGGGTATGATTGTGGATTTAGGATCGTGTTTGTCCACAGAGTTTTTAAAGAGCTACTTCATGCATTACCTGCAAAAATGTATCAACATTAGGAGTACTAGTAGTAATAGTTATAGTAGTAGTAGTAATATTATATCTGTGATCTCATAAAAAAGGCATAAATGCCCTTAAATGACTTATGTCCTTTAAGACATAATCTATTTTTCAGTAGCCTGTATAATCCTGAATGTTATGCAGTCTGTGCACTTGTACTTGTGGGTACAAGCAGAAAAGCTATGCACATCTAAAGACTTTTTTTGCAGGTGCTGGGCCAAAAGTGAGAAATCTTCATAGCGAGAAAAAGACAAGGTCTGCACTCTGCTGTGCTCCCAGGGTTTTATATTGATAATTGCCTTGCAGGAAGAGCTTTTTCGGGCTCTCCTTCTGGTGTAAACAAGGTACCAAACTAAAGCCCATAGAAGACTGAGGAAGTGAAAAGAAAAGGAAATCTTGCAAAATACACTATAATAGTTAGATGTAGGCAGGTAGTGGTAAAGTACAAACTGAGACCTCAGGCAGAAATGGGAATTATTGCAGCTTTCAAATTTCAAAAACTGTGGATTTCCATAAAACACATGATCAGTACAGCTTTGTCTCCATCTTTTTTGCCTCTTGATTAACTTGTAATTGACACCAACATGCAAGTTTGTGAACTCTTTAGAATTCTCGACACTATGTAACATAAACGTAAACATGACCTAAAACATTAGCACATCAATACACAAGCCCTTTAATAATATACTTGGAGAACTGAGTTGAAACAAACCTAAAAATAAATATTACACGTGGTTAATTATATCTTGTAAAAGGTAATCTAATAGTAGTAGTTTGTCAGATGACTGGATGATGGGGTGGGTGCAGTTTTCTCTGGGGTGGAGTCGGGTGGGCTGCCCCGGACTCTGTGGGGCTGGGCGGTGCTGCTGCTGCGGGCCCCGGTCCGGATGGGCCTGGGCCCCCTTGCCCTGGTGGGTTCCAGAGTGGGTGCCTACTGGGGTCAGCGGGGGAGCTGGCCCCAGGGAGGGGCCACTTGCCCCTCCCTTTCTTCCCTCCCCATCCTCAGCTGCCTCCCTATTCCCGCTCTACCACACCCAC